ACACTGGCCATTTAAAGGGAGTGACACATTGCCATTCACTGGTATCTTGTTCTAGAACAGTCTTACCGGCCCTAGGAGGAACCCTGGGCCACAGGGCACTTGGCCCCCAGCTCCCATCTCTTTGTGCCCTGTAAGTGGCATCTCACGTCTGTGTCTCTCAGAGGAGACCTCGTCCCAGGGTATACATCTGGGCTGCTCGAAGCTGCTTGGTGATATCCAGGGGGAGCCCCACCTGTGAGAGGGGCTGGTAGGGCTGGGGCGAGAGCAGGTGGGCCTGATAGAGGAGTGGGCTCTCTGGGGCTGGATTGGGCAGTCCCTCTGCAGGAGCCCTTCCTGAACCAGCAAAACCCACCATTCTGAGGCACCTGCTTATGGGTCTGTGGATCTTTGCACACCAGGAAGCTAGGAAGTTGCAACTGAAGGGTGTCCTGCCCACACTCAGGCGGGTGCCACCCATGGAGCCTCTGTGCCCACCTCAGAGAAGTTGGCAGGAGGGAGGCTGGAGCAGGGGGAGGAGGAAGTATTTAGGCCTGGGAAGTGTGGCCAGGCTGGCCAGGGCCACTGGTGTGGGAACGGATAGGCCCCAGGCCTGGAAACAGCCAGATGGACAAAAATAACCTGGCCTCCAAACAGAACGTGGAAAACCCAGTTGGGACCCAAGCTGGCGCTGGCAGGGCACTCCTGAACCACCATCAGTGTCTCGTGTGGGAAGCTGGCTGCCCGAGGTCCTGTCGCCAGCCTCTTCTGCCCTCTCGGAGCCTGGTGCACCTGCCTGCACCTGTCCTAGGGCTCTGGCAGGAGACAGACCCCCGTCTCCCCCTCCTGTGCCACCCTGCTCCCCAGGAGCTTTGCCTAGGTGCACACTCCCACCCAGCCTGGCGAAAGGCGCTTCCCACAGTTGCGGCTGCTGGAGGACCGTTGCACGCCAGGCTCTCACGAGGCTAACTGGCCAATGGGGCAGCATGGGCAGTGCCAGGCGGCCAGGGCCAGGCATTATCATGGCTGTTTCACAGACGCGGGAAGTCAGGTTCTCTGTCTTCAAGGCCATCCGAAAACAAGGCGGGGCAGGGACAGGGTTGGGGGTGCTCTGTTGGCAGGTGGATGGGACAGTTGGGAGTGAGGGCATCCAGGCAGGGGTGGGTAGCCTAGAAATGGCCTCTCACCCAGCCAGGAGCTCTGTGCCTCCCTGTCTCCCTGTCTCTCTGTGCATGGGCAGATGGACCCACGGCAGGGCTACATCTGGCCTCCTGGCTAGTGGCTGGGGACAGGTGCCAGCACTCTATGGCTGGCAATGCCTGTGCCACCTGGGGAGTCCTGCTGTCCTGGCCTGCACATTGGGTCCCACTGCTGGGTTCTATGGCTTGGGACAGGCCTCTGGCCTCTCTGGTCTGCGTTTGTCTACCAGGCCCCCCATGCAGACCCTGGCATGTCCAACTCCCCTCCTGGCAGATGCGGGCACAAGGTCCTGGGTGGTGGACACTGTGTTCCAGGACCCCCGTCTCCCCTTCCTGTACCACCCTGCTTCCCAGGAAGTCCTTCTGGATCACCAACACTGGGGCCAAGCCACCCCCTACACACAGTAGACAGGCTGCTTGGCTGCTGCTCCTGGCTCAGCAGTGCCACCTGGTGGCTCAGGTCCCAGCAGCGGCAGGAGACAGGGCCAAGTCAGAGCCTGGGAGGATAGGACTCCTGCTCCACCTTGTGCCAGAGCGTGCCCCCTCAGCTCCACCCCCATGTGTGCGCCGGTCCCAGGGAAGACCCCAGGACTCAGCAAGAGCGGGGTCTTCGCCTTGTGATGCCCGGGCTGCCTTGTTTTGGGACCTGGCACAGAGCAGGAGGAGAGAATAAACGAACCAGGGCATGGAGCTTCCTAGGGCGGGAGCTCGGCTTACTCACCAAGGACTGAGTGCTGAGTACCGTGGGAAGACACACACAGACACTGCACACAGACTCACAGATTCACATACATGTGCACACAGACTCACACACCAGACCCTTGGCACCTGCTGGTGCACACAGCCCTCTGGAGTCTCCCCAACACCCTAACGGTCTGCCTATTGCTTGCCAGGCGGCACAGCCTCGCTGATGGCCTTCAGGCCGGGTGGTGGCCCCAGGGCAGTCCTTGCTTGGAGACTGGAGGCCAGGCAGGGGATCAGGTGTCGGTGGAGCAGTGATCTGCGGTACACGGCCAGCCTCCCTGGGCTGGGAGCGACTGGGGGCTGCGGGACCCTCGCCTGGGAGCAGAGGGCACAGGGCTTTATGGGACACTTCTCCCTTGAGGGTCCTGGATGGACTCTGCTCCTGAGTGTGCAGGTGCGCTGGGCAGAGGGTGGGATGGGCAGTATGAAGAGTGGACAGGTCAAGGTGGTGCCAGCAGGAGCAGAGGCTGGATAGGCTGCGCTGGGGCCCTGGATGCGGTGGTGATGGCTGGGAGACCCCAGGGGGTGTGCAAGGGACAGGTGGTCTCCTGCCAATGGGAGAGCACGGGAGAAGATGGTGCTGGGGTGCTTGGGGCTGGGGTCAGGAGTGTGTGATGCCTGAAGGGGCCCCTCCTCCAGGCCAGTCTAGCCCCCTCTCCCTGCCACAACCTTTCTGGAGCTCCTGCTGGGCTCCAGGTGGGGAAGGGGGCCTTGACCCCAGGTCTGGCAGGTCTGAGTGGGGCATTCCAGCTGCAGCCTCCATTTTCTCCTCTGTGAATTGGGGTCAGTGGGTGCTGGTGATCAGGGACCCTCCAGGGGTGCTGGGGCAGGCGAGACAGAGCCCTGGGGGAGGTACCCTAAGCTGTAGTCTGGGCAGAAGGAGGGGCAGGGGTTCCGGGGGTGTGGTGTGCAGTTCAGCCTAGCCCCACCTGGGCCCCAGGCGTGGAGGAAGCGGCTCGCGCCCAAGGAGACACTTCCTGCTATTAATGGAGTTTCATCCAAACAAACCCTAGTGTTTATCCGCCTCCTCCGGCCGAGGTGCCAGAGGCGGAGTGAGGGGCCCGCCTGCTCTCCCTGCAGGTGGCCTGGCTTGGGGGTCCTCCTATACCAGGGCTGCCCCCCTGCCCCACACCGAGCACAGAGCCTGGGAGTAGACAGGGCACTTGGCGCCTCCAGGCCAGCCGTGCCCACCAGCCTGGGAGCCCAGATGAGGGGGCATGGAGGCATCAAGTGGCTTTAATGGGGCTTCCCATACAGGAGGCTGTTTACATGGCCCTTGATACCTTCCTCGGCTCAGTCACCAGGACTTTCGGAGAATACAGGAAGGGAACAGGCAGAGGGAACCGGACAGCCTCCCATCCCAGCCCCTGGCTGTGAGGCAGTGGCAGAGGGGCTGGCAGAGGGGGTGGGGGTCTTATAGGGGACCAAGCAGGCAGCCCCTCCCCAGCTCCTGAAAGTGCCCTGCCCAGGACACTCAGTGCGGCAGGTTGGAGGTGGGCATCTTGGAGAGCTGGCGCAGAGGCCTGGGCCAGAGCGGGGGACCAAAGGCCTGGGAAGGAAGGGCCTTCAGCGGATAGGAGCGGGTGGGCAAAGCGGCTCTGGAGGGCGTGACCTGAGCAGAACTTCACCGCCCCCCCCCAAGATTCTATAGGGGCTGCACCTGTGTACCTGTCCAGGGGCCCACTCCCAGGAAGGAGAGCTTGTGTTGGAGTCCCTGGGGGGCAGGGGCGTCTCCCTGTCCCTGTCCCATTGCTCGGCTCGCAGGGCTGTGCCTGTCTGTGGCCAAGATCAGGGATGCGGGTAGGGGGCGGGGTACAGAGACTTACCCCAGGCGGGAGTCCTGGCTCTGCCATCACCCTCCTGCTGGCTGTGCCTCCCAGGCACCCCTGGGAAGTCCCCTGCCCACGCATTCCATCCCCACACTTTGTCCGGGGGTCAGAGGCGCTGGCTCGATGGGGTATTGGTCAGCCTAGGGTGTCCCCGGGGGTCACACCATGATGTCAACAAGCCTGCCACACCCTGGGTTTCAGCATCTCATCCATGCCTCTCTGTGGGACCCTGAATGCTGAGTGGTGGTGGTGGTGGGTGGAGTGGCAGGAGTCTCACATCTCTGTCTGTGTCTAGCCTGTGCCACAAGGGGCCCAGGGCCCTCCCGGCCCAGCCTGTGCCACAAGGGGCCCAGAGCCCGCCCGGCCAAGCCTGCACCCAGTCACAGCCCGGCCCAGAGCCCGCCCGGCCCAACCTGCGCCCAGCCACAAGGGGCCCAGAACCCGCCCGGTCCAGCCTGCGCCCAGCCACAAGGGGCCCAGAGCCCGCCCGGCCCAGCCTGCACCCAGTCACAGGGGGCCCAGATCCCGCCCGGCCCAGCCTGCACCCAGCCACAGGGGGCCCATCAGAGGTGATGGCCAGGGGCCTGGTGGCTGCCTCTGTCCCCACACAGGAGCTCTGGCAGTGGGAGGCAATCCAGGAGGCCAGCTTAGTGGAGGGAATCAGCGGTGGGCAGGGTCTCCTGGGACTATCTTTGCCATGGGGCTGTGGGCAGTGTCCTTGCCAGAAAGGACAAAGCCCCGCTGTGCATGGATGTGGGGATGGGTTTTTTCCCTGATGCTGCCACTGCGTGCCTGTGGTACCTGCCGGCCCCCAAAGGCAGCCAAGGAACAGCAGCGTCTCCCACCAGCTGTTGCAGTCTCAAGCGTCTGTCCAGGTCCCAGTGTACCTGCCCTGGGGTGGGCACCAAGCCGTCTGGCTGTGCTGTCCACCAGGCCGCAGGTGCTAGGGGGAGGGGTCTTGCAGAGTCGAGCCCCGCCTCTCCACATGGGCAACGTGCGTGTCCACCAACGCGGCTCCTCCTCCAGGAGTCTGGGGGCAGCGTGGACAGCTCCCCGTGCTGGTTCCTGCAGCCCCTATAGAATTTTTGTCCCTTTCTCTGTGGACAAAATGACCCAGGCGAGGCCCCCTTCCACTGCACCGCATCTGGGATCCGTGGTAGGTATTACTAGTCAGTCAGCCACAGTGCACTGCCCTGGGCAGCTATCGCCAGTCGAGCACCAAGAGCCCTGGCAGGTGCTGAGCCCCTGCTGACTATGGCTGAGGTCCGTTAGCCGGTGCCGGCGGCGGGAGCGCACGGGGGCCGGCGCTGAGCACGCGCTGGTGGCCTGAGCACTTGGGGCTGTTGTACAAGCTGACCACGTCGCCACTGCCCGGCTCGCCCTCGGCGCCGGGCTGGCGGAAAAGGCCGCGCACGGCGGCCTGGAAGCCGCTGGTGACGAAGCAGTAGACGATGGGGTCCAGGCAGCTGTTGAGGCTGCTGAGTGTCACGGCCACGTGGTAGACCACGAGGCTGGTGCTGTGTGGCACGCCGGGCCATAGTGCCACGGTGACCTGGCGGGCGTGGAAGGGCGTGAAGCAGACGAGGAAGATGACCAACACGGTGAGCAGCAGCTGCATGGCCCGCACGCGGCGCTGGCGGCCCTGGCGCGGCAGGCCGGGCCGCGAGAGCGCGCACACGATGCGGCCGGTGAAGACGCTGAGGATCCCCAGCGGCAGCAGGAACTCGAGCACGGTGAGCGCGAAGATGCGGCAGCACGGCCGGCCGCCTGCCGCCACGCCCAGCACGGACAGCGTCACGACGCCCGCCGCCAGCCACACGCCGGCGCACACGGCCCTGGCGCAGGCCGGCTGGCGCCAGCGGCGAGCGCCCTCGGGCTGCACGATGGCCAGGTAGCGGTCCACGCAGATGCATGTGAGGAAGAGGATGGAGCAGTGCATGTTGAGGAAGTAGCCCAGCACGTGCGGGAAGCTGCAGCGCAGGCAGCCTGGGGCGCCGTAGAAGATGGCGTAGCGCGTGGGCAGCGACAGGCCCACCAACAGGTCGGTCACCACCAGGTTGACGGTGTAGGTGACGGATGGCGTCCGCGCCCTGGTGCGACAGCTGAAGACGTACAGAGCCAGTCCGTTGAGCACCAGCCCCGCCAGGAAGATGGCACCGTGCACCACCATCAGTGCCAGCCACAGCCCGGGGAAGTCTGCGTGCAGCTCCTTGTCCAACAGGGCGAACAGATGGAACAGGGGCACCTCGGGCGCGCTGCCGTTGGCCCACGTTGCTGTCGTGGCATTGGGGGCTGCTGCCGAGGGCCCCGTGGGAGACGCAGGGGGCATGATGGCCCGTGGCTGGAGCGCCCTGGGGCCTGGAAGCAAGGAGAGAGGGTTGGGGGGGGTACGACACTCCACAGCTCCAGGCCGCCTGTGCCAGATGCCCATCTGCCTGCCCGCAGGCCCTGGCACCTGCTTGGGTGGGCATGGGACCAGGCCCGCCCAGAGGAGGAAGGGGTGCAGGAGTAGCCTGGGATGGGGAAAAGGTTCCACGGTTCTGACACCTGGTTCCCATGCCATGGTGCGTCCTCAGCTGAGTCACTGCACCTCTTGGGGACCTGTCCTGGAGCTCGTCCCATCCCGTCCCATCCTGTCCCATCCCGTCCCACCGCTGGGAGGACTAACAGCGACCACTACTGTGCAGGGCCTGGAGACCCAACACATCTTCCTTGGCTGACAAAGGGTGTTCCGACCCAGATCATGCCTGGCCCTCCGGGCTGCCCATCTCCACTCGCCCAGGCCAGCCCTGAACCAGGGTCCTAGGTGAAGGTCCTCACGGGGGGGGGGGGGGAGCTGTCTTGGGAGGAAGAGGTGGGGTGTGTGGAGGCAGCCTTCGCGCTGTGGTCTTGCACACACCCGCTGGAGCCAGCAGCCAGCCGCCTGGAGCCAGGTCCCACACACAGGCCGGGTGTGAGTCAAATAAACCCGGTGCTGGGGCAGGGGCAGGCAGGCAGGCAGGGGCCGTCTCCCCCGTCCCCCCCTCCGTGTTTATGTGCCTGCTGACGGCTGTTTAACTGGGCCCTGATTTATCCCTTTGTTTATAAACGAAGGGTTAACAGGCCCACTCCCGCCCCCCCCCCAGCCGGCTGACCCTCCAAATAAGGACATTTCTGGTTTTTTTAGGAGAAAGGAAAAGGCTTTCGGAGAGGCGGGAGTAGGGGCACTCTGGGGGCGTGGTGGCCCCCTCCTGAATCCTGTAACCCCCCGGGGTCCTTCCAGGGGCCCCGCCCACTGATCGGCAGCTTGGCCCCTGGTGGCCACTGCATTCCTGGACCCTGGGTCCTGCTTTCTGGAGTCCCAGGACCGAAGCCCAGCCTGGCCAGGGGTATGTGAGTTAAGGAGCAGGTGTGCAGGGCAGGGACCACCTCTTTCCTTGGGCTGTGTGAGTTCAGGGTCTGCCAGAGGCCACCCCATGAGGCCCCTGCCACCAGCCCCTTCTGGCCTGGGCGTCTGCTGCCCTGGTGGCTGCTGGGAGGTGTCCAGCATGCCGGCTTGTGCCGGGAGCCCTGCCACCCCTGCCCCAGGCAGGCCCAGGTCTTGGGCCTCACTCAGGATTCCTTGGGAGCTCTGTCCCACAGCTCCCTGACAGGAGGACCCATGGGTGGGTCTGCTGGATGGAGCACTGAGTCCCTCTCCAGCCCTGTGGGCTTCCAGGGACAGGCAGTCTGCGGCAACAAAGACAGGGTCACCAGTGGGTCCCCCTCTCCCACCCACTGAGTTTGGGCTGGGGCTGGCCACAGGACGGCGTGCCAAGGACTGTGGTAGAGTCCCTGCCACACGCCTGTCAATGTTCCCAGCTGTCTGCCGGGCCCAGTGTCACCATCGGAGACAAACTATAAACATGATGAAACGCTTCCTCTGGGAGTGGCTCCCGGGGGACGCCGCCTGCCCAGCCAAGTCCCAGGGCCGGCAGCACAGCGCACCGTGAAGGGGTCCTCACGGGGCAGCGGTTTTGGGCCTCCAGCATCAGGATGGGCACACAGGATAACCAGACTGCCTGGAGGCCACCCAGGCCAGGGTAGAGGGGCTGGCAAAGCACAGACAGAGGGCTTTTTCTGCTGCAGGAGTCTGGCCCTGATCTGGGGTCACATGCAGGCATACTGAACCTGCATCCTAGCTGTGTGCTGAACCCTGACCTCACCAACACAAGTCAGTCTGATCCTGAGGACAGACTGAGCCTAGATCCCTGCCACACCCTGACCCCTGACCTGGCCCTCGGGTGGTAGGGGAGGGGGTGGTCTGGATGGGAGAGCACAGCCCCAGAGATCCAGGTCAAAGTCCCCCTCTGCCACTTCCTTCCCTTGGCCTGGCCAGTGAGCCTTGTGGTCCTCATTAGCATCCAGGGGCACGTGGGCCCCCACAGCTGGGTGGAGAGGCCCTGTCCCCAGGTCCAGTTTTCCCTGGCCAGGCCTGGGTCTGCTGGAGACTGTCCTCTCCCTGCCTCTCCCTGGCAGGTGCCCCACATCTGAGCTGGTTGGCGGCTGATGTGTCCTGGCAGCACCCAGCATGGTGCCGGTTCTCAGGGCCGGGGAGCTGTACCAGGGTCAACAGTGGCACATTCCCCACTGACCTGGGCCGGCCCCACCTGCCCAGTCTCAGGTGCTTCCAGTGGGGGCATAGAGCTGCCCTCCAGGGCTCCGTGTCAGTGGAGGAGCCAGCAGGGGCCCCTCCTGCATCCTGGCACTGGCCCCCTGCTCACCCTCCCTGCCCACAGTCCTGACACCTGAGCCAGGCTTACCTCACCTCCTGGAAGCCCATCTAGTTATGTGCTGTTTTTCTGGGACCCCGATCGCCACCCTTGGGTGATGGCAGCCCAGTGCCCAGGGCAGTTATGTCAAGCTCAGAGCCTCTGTTCTGGATCTTGTGTGACTTTGGGAAGCTGCGGAGTGGCTGCAGGGGAGTCCCCACCCCCACCTCCAGACATGCCCAGCAGCAGTGTGGCCAGCCTGCCTGCCCACAGGTGAGGAGAGGCCTGGGCCTTCCCGGGCACTTAGCACAGGACTTGTCAGAGCCTTTGCAAAGCCCAGTACCCTAAGGTTCTCCTGGGTAGTGGGAGAACAGGCACCTCCTACAGCCCATGCCATCCAGGAGTGCCTCTCAGCTGCCCAGCACCTAGCACGTCCCTGGTGTGGGGCCGGGTGCCAAGACTGTGAGAGCCGCTTAGCCTTGCCTTGGGGTCCCGAGCGTGTGGCAGGAGCCGGGCACCATGCACCACATGGCACTCGGCAGCGCTGGGATTAAGTCTGGGTCTGCAGGTGCCCAGGTTGGGGCTGACTTGGGGTGGGGAGCAGGTGGCCCAGTTGTGCCCATGGGACGCCAAGGCCACACCCTTACGGGGTGGCACCCCCAGCTCTCTGAGGCCAAGCTGACTGTCTACGGAATGAGCAGGGCATTCACCCCGTGTGGTGTGGCTCAATGCCATAGCTGTGCCTCCTGGACCTGGCCTGACTGAGCCTCTGCTTGACCCACAGGGAGGCTGGGCTCTTACAGCATCACCCAGCAGAGGGTCAGACATGCCACCAGGTGTCCAGCAAGTTCAGGTGGCCCTGGTCTGCCCTGACCTCCTGTGTGGGAGGCGCAGCTCCTGGGTGCTCATTCCCCGTCTCCCTGCAGCCTTGGAGGGCGAGACCTGCAGCAGGCTCTGACCCGGCCCACTCCCCTCCCACCTCTCAGAGTGGGGACATCCCTGCCCAGCCCCTTGACCTTGGCATGTGCTGGTCTCACTGTCCACTGCTCTTCCCCGTGCCCCCGCCGCCCCCTTGCCACAGTAGCACACAGACTGCCCAAGACCCACTGAGGTGTCTCTCCCAGGGCCTCACTGACATTCCTCCAAGAAGCTCTCCCAGATGGACACCGCTGGCCTCAAGTGGGTTTAACAGAGGTGGACAGAGTTAGATCACCATGCGGTGCAGACAGAGCTGGGGTGCGCACCCTGCCCTGTCTCTTCTGGGGTGGGCTGGGTGCAGAGCAGGCCCTCCAGCCTGTTTGTCCGGCTGCCGCGTGCCCTGCGAGGCCCCAGCACGTACTGGAGGCTTGCGGGCTTGGGGATACAGCACTTGGAGGCCTGACACCTGGACGTGAAGCCCAGTGGCGGGGGTTGGCTAGAGAAGGGGTGATCTGGGGGGAGGGGATGACTAGCAAGCAGCTGGTCAGGCATCAGCAGGTGCTGGGGGTCTGAGGGAGCAGGGCGGGAGGTGAGCAGGCCAGTGGGAGAAGCACCTGTGTGGAGGCTGGCTGGGTTCATCAGTTGGGGAGCTCCTCTGGGGTGCCCCTCAGACACCGGTGCCACCTCCTCAGAGAGGTCCAGGACACCTCCACTGCCCTCCCCATGCCCGATGGCTTTTGAATTCTTTGCCTCCCTGTCGGCTATGCGCTCCCTCTCCCTGGGCCCCCAGGCTGCAGCACAGCGAATTTATGAGCCAGAAAAGAGCCCTCCAGGCTTTGGGAGCCTCAAGTCTCCCATCCCATGGAATGGACGCACACATGCCCACAGGTGGTGCCAGGGACATTCTGCCTGCTCCCAAACAGCCAAGCTCAGAGACGGCAGCAACTCACCCTGGCCACATAGCCCTGGGAGAAGGGAGTGTCCCCGAAGGGCCGGATGCGGAGGGGCGAACAGCAGGGACAGCAGGCAGGTCCGGCCTGGGTCAGCTCCAGTCCTGCCTGAGGCCGCCCAGCTGCTTCGTGTCTACCCAGCCAGGCGCCCTGGCCGCGGGCCAGTTCCCAACCCGCCCGCCCCTCTTGGGACCCTGTTCCCGTTGCTTCTCACAGGGCAGCTGAGCGACGAGGGCCAGGCCCGGGCGATGCCAGTGCCGGGGGCCACGCTGGGCACTGGCCGTCAACTCCAGGAAGGGCTCAGCCTGAGTGTCCTGCTCCAAGTCCTCAGCCTCCAGCCCGGCCCCTGGCCAGGGTCCACCAGCCCAGCGCTGGCAGGCTGGCAGGAACCGAGCCAATGAATGAACAAATGAAGAATGCCCATGGCATGGGTGTGAGTGCCTGGGGAGCCCACCTGGAGCTATGCTGCCTTGGGCACTGCCAACTGGCCCACCCCATCCAGCCTGCCCCTATCTTGCCTGCCCATGGCCCCCTCAGTTTTCTCAACTTTACAATGGGTGACACTGGCTCTGAGTGCCCGCCTGCCCACTCGCTGGGATCTGGGGACGGCCCCTGCGCCCCTCTGCCCTCCCGCCCTCCAGCTACCACCTGTCCAACCGCCTGGGCCGCCGCACGCGAGCAGGCTCCGAGCCTGCGGCCGGGCGGCCGGGCAGCCCGGGCCGCCGGCGCGG